CAAGCGGCACCGGATTATTCTGGGAACCTGTTTTAAGCAGTCAACCTGTATTTAGCGGTTTCCAGCCATCCCCACGAGGTGACCGCTCAATACAGGTTTTACAATAATTATGTCTACCAAAGTGAAATTAAAAAATTGTTCTGCATGGTTGATTTCAGATTTCGCTTTTGCATTGGCCTTGTGGGTGGAATATTTTGCAAGTGTTTGTGCAAGTGTTGACGGTTAACCCCACTGAGACCCTCTATAGAAACTGTGGTGATGCGCGGGAGGGGGTGTGGTAGGATGGTTTAGGATATATACTAAAACACTGGATAGCGCTGATGGCGAGCTCTGATCGGCTACTTCAACTCCGAATATCCCTTGCTATTGATTACCTAGGGTGGGGGGGTTATAACAAGATAATTTGGTTTACAATAAAACACTGGTAGCGTTAAAGGCACGCTCTGATTAGCTATATCATATCGAATATCATATGCTGTTCACCTCCGAGCGACGCACGCAGGATTTGTGCCCAAAAATGTTGTAATTGTTCCAGAAATAAATGCGTTAAAATCGTCATTTTGTGTTATATCATCTCGCTGCATCGCAGCTTTGTAAATGTTCACCACTTGCCACATCCACTTCGGTAAATAGTTGTTTATAAAGTATCGACTGAGTTGGTAATGTGATTTAGCCACTGCAAAGTGTTTCTGGAGCAGATTTTTTGAGATAATTTTACGGTTGAAATTTACATTATCATTTATTGCGGCATTTATAGTTTCGGTTCTAGTTTTCATTCCTCTGCGTGACAAGCGTGACAAGCGTGACAAGCGTGACAAGCGTGACAAACGTAATGGTAGAAATTATGCTAATCATACACTCAAATATTAGTCAAACATCTGTAACATCGGCGCCCAAACAACACAACGGTCCGCTATAGCTTTCCTTACCCTCGTTAAAATTAGAGTCTCCAACGTCGCAAACTATGTTTGTGGGCACTACGAACTCCTTCTCTTCAGGTAAGTCGGAAAGAGAAGATATGCTTCGTTGCCTAATACAGTAACTAATATGAACTTAAGATCACTGAAAGAACAANTTTTAAGTAGCAATAATCCGGCAGTTCCATACACAGCTTTTGACCGAACGCAGAGGTGTATTACACTGCCATTTAAAACTTTTCATTCAATAAAAATGATAAACAGCACTCTTTCATAAAATATACTCAAATAAATTTAAACCTTACGTGGTCGCTTTCACCGCTTGACTTGACATCTGTTGTGCGGAGGAAGGAATATGAGTTGGTGGGTTTTCGAATTTTATTTGTTTAGAAAACTGAACAGGGTGGTTTAAATCAAACGAAGAAGCGAATACAAACTCCAACCGGCCATAGACTGTCTAAAAACTGACAATAAACCCGCACCTTTTGATGAGAAAAACTGCTTTGAAGTTCGGAAGTTCACGACGACGTGAAACAGGTCCTTCTCAAGTCGTCGACGACAAGACGACGACGGAATTCTTGGTTCGCGCTTGCGCAGTGACGTTCTTGCTACTTCCGGTCGTCGTCCTCCGTTCGTCGTCCTGGTTGCTTAAGAGCTCCCTATTGAAACGTGCCACAGACCGTTCAGTCGTTCAGTTTTGGGTCAAAAATAGCATTTAATTGAGGGCACATATTTTAATCTAGGCAAATACATAAAATTTGATCTATTCATTCCTCTCACAATCTTGAAATACTTACCAAACGCTTCTTTTCTTGCTCTCGCCTCGACGCTACCGATGCCGGGTGTACGAATCAAGGAGTCACGGGACAGTTTTATCCCGTGTGGGGTAGTGAGTGGTCGGATGCGGCCCTCATTTGCCATCACGCGAGGCGAAAGTACCTTTCGTAAAAGTAAAAGTATTCCCAAGTTTCTTTTAATTCCTATTGTTTTATTCAAAATTTCTATGAGAACCTGGGGTCTTGAATAACGTTCGAATCCCTCTAACTAGTATTAGGTCCACCAAGACGAACTCTGAAACTACTTTAGAGGAGTTTTTTTTTTTTACTTTGACCGTTCAGTCGTTCAGTTTTGGGTCAAAAATAATATTTAATTGAAGGCACATATTTTAATCCAGGCAAGTACATAATATTAAATTTTTTCATTCCTCTCACTATAATGAAATACTCACCAAATACTTCTTTTCTTCCTCTCGCCTCGACGCTACCGTTATCGGGTAAGAATTAAGGGATCACGGGACAGTATTACCCCGTGTGGGGTAGGGAGGGGTTGGATGCGTCTCTCATTCGCCATCAAGCAATTGCGACGAGGTAAAAGTATTCCCGAATTTCTTTCAATTCCTATTGTTTTATTCCAAATTTAAGTGAGAACCTGGGGTCTTGAATAACGTTCGAACCCCTCGAGCTAGTATTAGGTCCACCAAGCAAGAGAAACTCTGAAACTAGCTTTAGAGGTTCTTTTAATTTTGATCCAGCAAGGCTTGGAGAACAATCGATCAAGATGTTCCCCTGATCGTTACATCTGAGTTACATTTCAGCTCAATCCAGCCGTTAAGTCTCACAAGGTGGACACAAGAGATTAATAAGTTTATAATCTCCTGGTACACATTAAAAAATAATAATATCGTAATCAAATCTTGTCTAGTTCGTCTATTATCTAGTTAGTAGTCTCACTAGTGCTTCAGGATTTTGTAGACAAAAAATGACGAGGTTTTAGGCATGTCATCACTCTGGTACTGGGGAATCGTTTCCTTGGCTACGTTAACCCACTTTCCCTCTTTCTCTAACTCTTCCATCATTGGCTGATACCGTTCAAGCTCACCCAAACGAATGTTGAAGCTTAGAAGACCACCTATAATACAAAATGAGTATATTTCAATGTATGAAATCAATTTATACACACAATTTTGGGTGACAGGTAATTTTGCCAAATGTTTTTTTGGTAGGGAATAAAACGAATTGTACAGTGTAGAACAGAATAGTGTCACAGTGTTTGAGTTACTCAGTAACAGAAGTTTACTTTCAAACAAAAGAAATGAAATAAAAAAGAGCAAATTTTAGGAATCAAAGAACCAAAATTAAGTGAAATAATTTTGTTTCCCTCATGAATATTATAATAGGCTTGCTGGGATCATGTTTGAACTAAAATTAATCAAACTTGCGATAGAAAAAGTGTTTTTGGCGAGCGAGCGAACACCTTTGTTTGCCCACATGAAGAGAGACAAATTTCCAGTTCTTTCTGCTTCTTCCAGCCCTATAATCACGAGCTCTTATGTCCAACTCACCTACTAACTGGAGGCTGTATATGATAGAAAATGAAAACAATTCATTTTGAATCTCACCGATCTTGATCATGCGAATCATTTCCACCAGAGCAGTTGCTTTGACATGCGCAGCACACAGCGTGCCAATGCAGATCATAGCATCATATTCTCCAGTGTTAACTTCAGGACTCTGGTCACAGTTAAGAGGAGCGCAAATGAACTTTTGGTAAACGTTTTTCTTCTTTGCTTCATTCAACATTTCAGGTGAGATGTCCAAAGCACACAGGTGAGTGTAGCCAAGTTTGTGAAGCTCAACTCCACACAAACCAGTGCCAGCTCCACAATCGATAATTTTGACCTCATCCTTTGGTTTGTCCAAGTATTGTTTGATGGCAGCGTCCAAGCATTCAGCTTGTGGTCGATGAGCGACATACTGTGCTTTTATGATTTCCTGAAAGATGTTTTGACAAACAGCTCTAACCAAACTCAAATTCATGCAAATTAAATATTTTGCAATTAAAAATTATTTATCACATGATGCACTACTGCCTTAATCACGTATATCTCGCTGATTACAGATGTCACAGATACTCCCCATGACAGGACGGAAAATGCGTGCACTGTAAGTACCCTCCTGTTGTCCTATACAAAGCCTTAGAAAAGTTTTCTAAGGCTTTGTATTGGACAACGGGAGGGGCTTACAGTGCACGCATTTTCCGTCCAGTCACAGCTAATGCTCTGAGTCTTGATCTTACAATGCATGTTGTTGCCCTCTCTTGACTAAGTTTATTAATAACAGTGCAGGAAAGGAAAATGACCTATTGTTGAGGCTGTTCCTCAACAAACTGTTAATGTTAAGTCCATTCCGCGATTCTAGATTTTTCAGTCGACTACGTAAGACCATAATGCTGTAGTATCTTGCATATACCCTTCAATCGCACATGGTGAAGCTAGTTTAATTGACGCTAAAATTGTGATTTCTCTCACGCCGTCTTTTCATATTATGGTAATTTGCAATGATTGGATAGTTTCTGTTTCGAGTTTTGCTTCGCAATTTAATCTTTATTATGTTTCGCAGGTTATTACAACGTGTTATAAAGTTATAATTCAAAATGAAAGGTCGACACCGTTTGTAATGCAAGTGACTGATGACTTTCTCCGCTATTATTAAAGAAGTTGTATTTGGATGGCTGCTCTTGCGTTTATGACACGCCCTTCGCCGCTTTGCATATCCGGCTTGGACACCTCATATCATACTTATTACACGCGCGGTCTAAAAATTTGGAGGTATGATGCTTGATCGATCCAGGAAATCTGAGTTAATTAGGTTTGAGCCAAGAACATAGGTGACCCAACCGTCTGCGGCTCGTGTGCCACATTTTTGTTCTCACTCCATTTCGATGTTATCTGTAATCTGTTACTGGACAGTGATTTCAAAATGGTTGCAATAAATGGATGAATAAATAGCAAACAGTTTGATAGATTGATAACTAGAGATGAATTAATAAATAATGAAAGGCTAAGTGTATATATAGATATTTATTAAAAACTGGATCATTGGATAATGCAATTCAAGACTTTTTATTGGCTTAGCCATTATGGTATATCAGCCAATATACCATAATCTACAAATATGGTAAGCGTACGCATCAGCTTAAAATCAAAAGGGAGCTAAAAAATCCAGTTTCTTCTTACAAAATAATAATTTCTTGGGGGCGTTTTTAATAAAACAATTATTCCACTCGCGCTTGTTGGATATGAGATGATTATAGCCAACTCGGCGCTACGCGCCTCGTTGGCTATCTATCATCTCATATCCAACGCGCGCTCGTGGAATAATTGTTAATTGTAGTTTAATTACCCGTATAAATTTTAGATAACGATCCTTTGTCTACGACTAAGTCATCTGAAGGTTTTCAAAATACTTAACCGACTTCCCTTCGAATCCACCGTTCCCACGTCCATTTTCGATCACCTTTACCTTTATGATCACGGTGTACCATTGTACGCTTTGACTTTTGACTTTGATTTTGCTGTAGCCATTGGCAAGATAAACACGCTCTGCACATGGTACTAATGACGAAGGAATTCGAGGTACAGAAATGTTCCCGTTCCCGTTCCCGTGACGAAAACGTACAAAAGATGCTGCGAGAGATGTCCT